TTTTTGGCCCACTGCACTGGCTGGAGCCTCCAATGAGCTGCTGACCAGAAGTGGAAGCAGCTCACCGCCTCGTTCCTGGCCTTAGGACGAGCGTCGATTCTGTCCCCGCTACGCATGATGCGGGCCGAGGTGTTCGCAGGTGCCCTTCAGCAAGTCCCTTTCTCATCATAGTTTGTTGAGTATTTTCATCTGGAATGGACGTTGAACTTTACCAAATGCTTTTTCTGCACCTACTGAGATGCTCTTGTGGTTTTTGTCCCCCACTCTATCAATACGGTGCATTACATTAACGGATTTGGGTGTTTAACTTGGTATTTCTTTATAAATTTGATAGAGAACTCACCAGTGATGTCTCCCAGGACTGGGCTTTTCTTTGTAGGAAGATTTTTAATTACTAATTTCTTTACTTGTAGATCTGTTCAGGTTTTCCGTTTCTTAAGTCAGTTTTGGTAGATGTCTTTCTAGGAATTTCTTCATTTAATATAATTTTTTGCTATTATTTCTCCAAACATTTTTCTGCCCGTCTTTTCCCCTTCTGGCAATCCCATTACACGTAAATTGCTACACCTGATGTCGTTGCGTGGGTCCCGGAGGCTCCGTTCATTTTCATGTCTCTGGTCATGTCTGGCGTAATGTCACTTCAGCATAATGTCTTCAAGGTTTATCCATATTATAGCATGTATCAGAATTTTACTCAGAACTTACTTAAAAAATAATTTCTATAATAGCTTATTTGAAGTCTTTATCTGCAAAGTCTAGCATCTGGACCCACACTGAAAATTTCTATAGACTTTTTTTTCCCTGAGGATGGGTTATACTTTCCTGTTTCTTTCAATGTCTCATAATTTTTGTTGAAAATTGAATATTTTAATATATTAGAGCAACTATGGATTCTAATACTTCTCCCTGAAGGTTCTTTTTGCTTTTGTTTTGTTGTGTTTAATAACTTGACTAAATCTGTGGACTGTTTCCTCTGTGGTTAAGCCTAACCTGTGCCCAGTGGTTTGCTAATCACCTAGTGGTCAGTGAGTGATTTGGGTAGCTGTTGTGCTCAAATACTTTGCACTGCGAAGGTTTCCACTTTCTGTTGATAGCCCTATGTGTGCACATGCACTGGGGAGCACATTAAAAATGTATGCAGTTTTGCCTGGCCGGGCGTGGCCCAGTGGTTGAGTGTGGACCTAGGATCTGGTAGATTGCGGTTCGATTCCCAGTCAGGGCACATGCCCGGGTTGTGGGCTCGATCCCCAGCAGGGGTCGTGCAGGAGGCAGCCGATCAATGACTCTCTCATCATTGATGTTTCTATCTCTCTCCCTTCCTCTGAGGTCAATAAAGATATATTTAAAAAAAAAAAAAAAATGTATGCAGTTTTTAAGCATGCCCTGGCTTTTACTTTCTGATGGGACCTCTTGTATCTCCTCTTTATGTGCTTACAAGTTCATAGTTAGGGATGTGTGGGTAGCTTAGACCCTCTCTGGTCTCTCCTGCAGGCGAGCAGGGGCTCACCCATGGGGCTGGAGACTCCCCTGCTCCAAGTGGAACAAGAATGAGAGGCTGGGCATTGGCTGAAATGACAAACAGTGACTCTTCTACAAATTGGAGGTTTATTTCAACAAAATGTGAAAAGAATACATTTACATTTGACTGAAGCTCCTTGCTCATCAGGGTGTGTCCATCGAGTTCCAATGAGACAAGTGAAGGCTGCTTTGTGAACGAGGTGATCGGACAAAAGGACAATCTCAGCTCCAGCGAGTCCTGGTCAACGCATCCCGCACGCTCCTCCTGCCTTAGTCACCTTGCCTGAGTAACGGGCTGTGGGAGTGGCAGCTCGCTCACACTCGGTGGCTCCTTGTCTTCTCCATATGAAAAACCCCTTTCAGGGTGAGACCTAAAGTGAGGTGCCCTGAACATGGGGGAATAGGCATTACAGGGGTCCAGAGAGGAAATGGATTCGTTTAATGTGTCATAATTTGGTGGTGAGGGGGGAGGTAAATGACAAGTCACCCACCCTGCCTCTGAGGAGATGCCACGGTGAGTGCAGGACTTCACACCCGCTGTCGGTGTGGGGATTTTATTTATTGCGGGAGAGGGGAGAGGAATAATTTGGTCAAAGATGAGTTCGATTCTTACTGGGTCAGCAGATACTAGCAACAGTGGGTGTTTCCTGCTGGACTGAAGTTGTTGCCCACCCTTTCCCGCCCTTCTTGATGGCACCAAACACTGTACCTTGTACCAGGGCAGCCTGGTCGAGGCTCTGAGCTCCTAGGGGCAGTCGGAGACGTACCCAGCCACACGATGCCCACCTGCACGACCAGTTTCTGAAGAAGGGGAATCGGAGCCCGTTCTTGTGTGTGAACTACAGGGTTAGGGCTCACAACTGCAGCTGGCACACAAGTATTCATACCGGTACTTCTAAATTGTCTTAGTGATCTCCTCCTTGGTTGCCAGTGACAAGTGCAATTAGCTGCACTGTAGGAATGGATACTACACCAGCCCTGATCACCTGCCACTCTTGCTTTAGGAATTCCAACGGGGGAATCAGTAAGCTCCTTCCTTGAACAAACTGGTTCTTGCACATAAACAAGTGCTCTCCACCCACCGTGAGGAGGCCCCTGCCGCCGCCCGGGCAGGGACCAGTGAGCCTGGAAGACAGCAGCACCATGAGGGAGTTGTAGGCAATCTTAAGGTCATATGGATTCTGTGTTCCCGGTGCCGAGAGCATAGATGTCACATGGTTCCTGTTGGCAGCTGTGGGGAACTGCTGCACCTGTTACCTGTGTACATCCCAGGGAGAGACCAGACCCAAGGGGAGTAGGACAGCAGACGCTCGGAGAGCGGCCCCAGAGTGGAGACGAGCGACTCCATAGGCACTATCAACCTCCTGTGACTATCAGAGCTCCAGGCTTCCTGGTAACAACCTTCCAAGTCTTAACATGAGAGACTATTCGGCCCACTCTCCCTGTGGTACAACGAACTACTTCCCATCAGTGACAGAGGGCAGCCCTCCGGCTCCTCCTTTGCCAGCTCAGCCAACCAACACTGCCCGTGGGACCTGGGAGGGGTGGGCCCCCCACGCGCTGGCCCTGTAGCCCCCCCAGGTGCACCGGCCCATCGAGCAGTGACATGCAGGGTAGGTCACCAGCTTCCCGTTTGTTCTAAGAGAACTGAACTCAGCGTCGAGGCCTCTGAATCCACCACAGTGACTAGGTCTGTTTCCTCTCTCTGCTCCCTGGATCACAGTTTTGCCTTCATCTTTGAGTTCCCATGGAGCTTGCCGATTTCATGCTCTATTTTCCTTCACAAATAGTACCTTGTGTGATGAGGCTGGGAATGATTCCTCTCCAGTGCCTAGTGTTTGTCGGCTGGGCTGAATGTGGGGGTAAAGCAATAGCGGGCCTCAGGTGCCGTCCTCTCCCCAGCCCTCCTCTGCTGCCTGCGGCTGCAGGCTCATGGGGCGGGGACGGGTGTGGGCTGCTGACGGCCTGGCGCTTCCCTGGACTGAGACCAAGGGGCCATCAGGACGGGGGGGCAGCTCTGCTTCTGTGCAGTAAGACCTCATGGTACCTGTGTACCCTTCATTGCCTTCTTGGGTGTGTGCAGGGAAAGAGGGCTGTCATTGCAGCCAGGGTAATAAATACTGAACAGGACAGGTGTGGCTGAGGGCTGGAGCCGGCTCTGTGACCCTGCATCCCAGGAGGTCATGCAGAACCTGAAAACATTTGAGGGAAAGCAAAATGCCGGTTGATTCCAGTGCTGGGTCTCCTGTGCCTTCTTATTACAGTGGTTTCCGTTGTAAGGCAGCTCTAGCCCTTTCTCCGGAGGCGGGGGGCAGGAAGCTCTCCCTACGTGGATGGGGAGTCCATCGTGGAGAGGATCCGGACGACTTCTGCTCGCTGAGTGGGTGAGATGTGCTGGGTCATGTGGACGATGGAATCCATGGCGACCTCTGGGTTGGCCTGGACCAAGCTGGAGGGGAAGATTTGGGAGGTGAAGCGAGAGAGAGGCAGCAGTGTCGAGACCAGGGCAGCTTACGAACCGCCCTGTAACTGTGCTAGCAAGGCTCACAGCAGACAGCTAGCACCTCGCCTGACCTGTTTCCTACATGAAAAATGTCCCCAGCAGCAAGGGAGGTAAGATAAACCTGAGGCATTTCACTGTGTCAAAAGGTTAAAGGTAAGGAAGTACTTAAAAAAACCCAAAACTGATGGGGGCACGTTACAAAGATAGTGGAGCGAGCACGAATAAGCACCCACTGGCTAAATCTGGGACATTTTGGGCATCAAAATAATAATGAATTAAAAATTATTGAAGAAATAGCAACTCACTAGTCTACACCAATAATGAATATATAACTGAGTGGAGGAGAGAGGACTTTGCTGGCAGCAGAATTGGAGTAGAGCCTGGAGACTCACGAGCACATGCTGCAGTTGGAAAATTATTTTGAAACCTCACAGTAAAGACTGGATCCAGTAAGAATCATCTGTGGATGCTGAATCTAGGTGGAAATTCTGATGAGGAACAGGATGTTTGCCTGGCCTTAAAGTGTTTCCCCACAGACTACTTATTGGGTACGAGGGGGAAAATCAGTGATTACACAGTGGGGAAGTTAACATCATGACCGGATGGTCAAAACTAACACGAGGAGGGGCAGATGGCGTCGTGTGGCTCCCGGTGTGGGACCCGTGAAGGCCACACCACCATGTGTGTAATGTTCTGGCTGAGCACATATGATCTGAATCTAATCATGACGTAGCATCCAACAAACTCAAACGAGCAGTTCTACAAACGGATTAGACAGGAGAGCAGGCATACTCACCACAATAAAGCAAATGGGGTAAAAAGTAAACAAGTACACCTGGGCACAGATTTGTTCTTTGTGCTGTTTTCAGTTTTGCAACTTTTCTATAAGTAAAATGTTTCCAAATAAAATGCTTTCAAAAGTGTCCCTGCAGTCTCCACCCCGCCCCGCCCCCCTTGCTATGGAAAAGCCTGAGACTCTAGAAGACAGGGAGAGGAGAAGGTAGTTCCCCAGGAAACTGCGTGCAAACAGCCCCCCCCCCCAATGGTTCCTCCAGTCAGAGCATCTGCACTTGGAGATAATAGTTGGGCACAATGAACCAAGTCCTCATCTAGCTGAGGAAGAGCTGTGCTTGAGGGCTGTTTTATCTGTGTGTCAACTACAGTGGTCTCCGACAGAGAGACCACAAAGAGCGCAGGCATCATCAACTAAGGTCCGTTCTTCAGTGTTTCATTCCAAAGACCCGAGCCCCATACCTCCCGAGGAGCCCGCACTGCGCTCTCACCTGCGGATCTGCTTGAGGACGTAGTCTCTGCTGATGTACTTGATGTTTTCCTCTATTACTGAGCGAACGCCGTCTTCCTCTGTCAGCTGTTTCTCCAGCCACTCCACAAGGTCCTTGTTATTGTCCCAAACGTAGGCCTGCAAACAGATAAAGTCTGTTACACACCAGGGCCAGGCCGGACACCCTGGTGGTTTGATACCCGGAAAATCCACTCCCAAAACTTGTTCAACATAAAGTTCGCGATTCTGTTACTGTCGACTCTGCAGAATAAGAACACAGGCCTCGAGACAGCAGCTGCCCTCACCCTCCGCTTCCTTCTCTGGATGCAGGCGCACACTGGCAGCATCCACTGGGCCCCTCCGGGGGCAGCAGCACTCACGTTTGGCTCTGGCCTGTCACTCAAGGCTCTACCGACTCCACAAAGGCTGAGGAAACTAGTTAAAAGCCACACTGCTTATTAAAGTTCTGACCGAGAGGGAAAGGTTGTTTACTTGGTTGAAAATGAAACGCGTGCTTTCTGAAGAACTGAGACACAATTTCTAAAATGTAAGTCCAGTCCCAGGCGGGCCCACCAGATAAGTTATCCGATTGTGGAAATCTCCTGACATAGGGCCCATGGCCTTTCAACAGGGCATGGAGGGAGTCCTGCCGTCAGGGGACAGCCACCAGGTCAGAAGCCCACTTGACTTTCCAGGAGAATATTCAGAAAGGTCAAGATGTCGGTAACCCTGAAAGACTCAACAAACCCCCTCCTAGACTCTGGTTTTCAAGATCATTTAGCTGAGTGTTTCCTAGGTAGTTGACTACATAATAATTCAGGAGTGTGTTAGAAACCTAATAGCCTTGCTCTTCTCCTCTCATTTTCTTTACAAATCATTTAGGAATCGTTTTGTTAATGGTTTCCGGAAAACCAAGTACCACCATTAGGGCTCATTCATATTTATGTCATTTTGTTTGGGTAATTAAACACAAAGCTCGTCATTTAAAGGTGCGCTATCCTTCTCTGTTATCACTAACGAAGCCAAAGTCAGAATGACAATGAGTTTGGTGCTGTGATTTAATAGGTGGGTGCATTAGGGACTCTCGGAGGAGTCACAGAGGAGGTGTTCATCACACCCCTCAGGAGGCCGCACACAGGGAGAGCCAGCCCTGCATTGTTTTCTAGCTTCCTATTTTGTGCCTTTAAAAATAATGGTTTCTCTCCAGACTCACCTCCCATCTCTAACTTAGCTGGCAAGTCAGATGTGACTGGGTATTTGTTATACATCGTGTAACTGACTCCTACATTTCTAACGATTCTTAGCCAGTCCTTCACAGGTGCCTTTTCTAGCTCTGTCTAGTTCTTTTTCTGATCCCAAATTTGCCCATCTCTGTAATCACTGATAAAAAGACCAGCTCCCTAGTCAGGTGGTGTGGCCAAGATGGTGTGATCCTGAGAGAGCCTTCCCACCTCTCTGGGCCTTGGTCGGGACACACCACTGAGGCTAAAAGGCAGCAAAGTGTTTCGTTTGGAAGGAGAGGAGGTGCCACATCAGTCTCTATTGACAGGGTGGTGGTGATGCTCTCCCCATGACGTGGTCCTAACTCTTGCATCCCAGCCCCTGCATACCCTGAGTGGGTGGATACACCTGGACTCCTGATCTCTGACATCTCCATCTCTGTCACTGGTAACTGCTCCTTGGCAAGAGGACCTCACAACACGCTCCCACTTATGGAGCTCTGGAGGTAGGAAAAACTAAAACAATGACTATTGCTTAGGATTCAGTATGGAAAAAAAACAACTCAGTTTACCCAAGAACCCCAAAGCCTTTCATTTAGGAGAATATTTAATACTCTTATTAATCATTTTTAATCCGTTTGCTTTTAATTAAGAAACAGCATGATGCTTTCCTATCAACATATACCAGGGAGCAGATTAATTGTGGCTTAAGATAACGCTCCTTGATTGGTGTAATGTATTAGCTAACGAGATGCCTGCTTCTAACGATGTCAGACACTGCACTGGAAAGCCAGCCACCCTCTAGAGAAAAGCCCTCTGCCTCCCCTCCTGCAGCCACAGAGTATGTGATGCTAGGTGTTCAAATTAAACATTAAAACGTTCCAGACAGGACCAGAGCAACACATCCCAAGTTTTAGGACTATTGCTCTGAAGTCTTCCGTTTGAAAACGTCCTTCTATGAATGATCTGCTGTTCACAGTATAGCAACTGGATGACAACAAGCCAAACCCAAAACCCCACTGAAGTTCAGCTCGTGGTGCTGGGTACACGAAGGCAGAGGTGTTGGAGGTCAGAGTCAGCTGCATTTTTAGCAAGACTAAACAAACTTAAGCACCCACAGTGCCACAGATTTTCCCGCAACAGACCTGGGAGGGTTTAACACGCTCTGTTGTGAGCTAACCCTGCCCCCCCAAAAGCAAGGGTCCCTCTTGCTGGGTCGGGGAGTCTATAGCCCTCGTCTGCCCTCTTAGGAGAGTGTGAGACTCCTCACTCCAGCCATCCAGAAGGATGAGCCAACCCTATTCCCGGGAAAAAAAGAGCCATTATCATTTCCCTCCTGAAAATTATGAAAACGTGGCTCATTATTCCTAGTGTTCCAGTGCGGATTTTAAACAAGTGTGAAATGCTGGGCTGCTAACCTCATCACAGGTCTGGGCTCATGTCACCTGCCTGACACTCATCCTAATCAGAAAATTTTAAAACCAATAAAATATCGATAATGAACCATCCCTACAGTCCCTACAGTGGTCTTACAATAATGTTCAGCAGACACTTTATCTCTCTCTGCATCAGCGGATAGCTATCTCCAGCATTACTCAGCCTCACTAATTGTGTGTAGTAATTAGTCTATCTTACAAAATCTAAATGACCTGTTTGGAAAGTTTCATTTTTAACCTATCGAAAGCTGTTAAGTCCTCTTTACTCAATGGTAGAGCAGAGTCAGGGAGTGACCTGGGCACAGCCTGATGGATGTGAGCCCTGACTGCCATACCCCACAGATAACTCACCTCCAGCAATGTGATTTTTCCCCGAGGCTTTGGAATACAACAGAAAACAGCCAGGTGGGCTGAGGTCTCCTGAGAGCCACTCCAGTCTCAGTCTCAGGCCCAGGCCCACTCAGAGCCAAGCAATGCCGTCCAGGTTCTGCCTCACCTCCTGCCTCCGTGGCCCTAAATCAGAAGTTTGGGGCACAGACTTGTCCATGAGTAACGTGAGCCCAGGCCTTGGGGATGGTGGAAATCAAATGATCCTACCAACGGTGCTTTTCCTCTATCAGCCTCACAGGGGCCCCCACGACCACATCTCATTCAGAAATCCAGAATATGAGTAAATAGGTAGGTATTTGGACAGTAAGAAGGTATTCTGGCACCTTAGGTTGTGGATAAGTTAAAGCAAGCCAAAACAAAGAATAGTTACTGAGAATCTACTATGCTCATGGAACCATCACCCTCCTGCCAAGATCATTAAGATATACATCTTTAACTCTTATTTTTTATCTTCTAACAAGCTGTGCTGAGAGGAGGGAGAAAGTGGCATACTTTGTCTACTGAATGCCAGTCACTGTGCTCCATACTTTACTAACTTATCATGTCATTTAAATCTCACTGAATCCCGTGAAATAAACATCATCCCCATTTTACACATGAGGAAACAGAGGCTTAAATATGTGCACACCAGTAAATAGCAAAGCTGGGATTCAAAAAGTCTGTGAGATTCTAAAAGCCGTGTCTTAGAACCCATTAGAACTGTACCCCAAGCAGAGTTCCAATCTCAATTTCTACTATGGTGGGG